TTGGCCCAGGTCGAAGGGTCTTGACTTTCCCGCGAGTCGAACGACCCAAAGGAAGAATCGTCCTTTCAAGGGATCGGAGACGTGGATGTTCCTTGACAAAAACCAAGGGTTTCGCTGTTCAGAGAATTCTGGGTGATCGACCCCGGCCGAGTCCAGGTGCAAAACATCGACGACGAGTCCTTCATGAACGATGGACAGCCCTTGCCGTAGTGGTTGAGGGCTCTCCTCGAGTCGCCGGAGCGTCGGCATCGTCATCCTCCGTCGGAAACCGAGATGCTACAGTCGGAGGCAAACCAAAAAAATGTGGCGAAGATCACTCTAGAGGAAGCTCTGTGCAAATATAACCCAAACCATGTCAAAAAGTTTGACCTATATAATGCAATAATGCCATATACGATATAATGATCGGTCCCACGTGAAGATCTTCGGGGTGAAGCACCTTGAGGTCGAAGTTCGGAGACGGACTTTCTCCCGGGATTCTTCATCTGTTCCAAGAGTCCGGGAATCTTGAGCCCTAAGAATTCCATGAAAAACTTGTTTCTAATAGCTTCTTGTTACTACTAGTAAGGCACCTGTTACTACTAGCGTGGCACTTGTTTCTACTAGAAACAAGCGAAATGAACACCCAAAGAACAGAACCACCAGGTCCAGTGCACACGTCACCGTCACACGACGAGGACCGCGGCTATCGCCCGAGACGGTTCGACACGGACCATCCGATGGGACGAAGGCAGAGGGACCACCCCGCCCCAGAGCTCCGTTGAAGTGGAGTTGATCATACCAAAACACTACGCTAGGGATCCGTTTTCGTACCTTCTCAGGTACGGTGAGGACGGAGACCCTGTTAGGTTCGGAGGGTCCAAGTACCTTCTGAGAAGGTACTTGGATCATCTTGGATCCTTAGGGCTACGAACTAGGAGGTTTCCAGGACCAGGCGACGAACAAGCTGGGTCAGACTGGTCGTACGTAGCCGTCGTGTCTGGGTGACAGAGATTTTTCATGGAGTGTCAGTCCCAGAGTTGCAGAATGTTGGAGATCTTCACATGTAAACGAATCTAACGACGTAACGGTCTTCAGCTAATTAAATGTGTTCCCTGCTTGCCCCTTGATACTCGATGTGCTTCCCGATCTATTCACGATGTTGACATGTCTCTTCAACCTTTTCCCGAATTGTCTTTCCAACCGCGGTTGCCAATGTCCCTACATCACCGCCGACGCGCCGGGCGCTGAACACGCGCCGATATGTCGATTTTGGCAGCATTTTCTCGTGGCCAAGAGTGTCATGAAGAGATGTCTGGATCGCCACTGGTTCTGAAAACGGGACCACCCTCACTTGCTGATGATCCTCTGCATATCAGGGACTTGAAGATGTCCGAACCGCTATGGTGTCCAAAGGCCATTAAAGCTTCCAACTTTTGAGTCCCAAGAATCAGTGTATTTTGGAAGCTGGGTTGAAGTGTTTTCACTTCGGACTTCCAACAAAGCTTTGGCCTCCTGGTGTTCTGTTCCTCACGAACAATTGCTTTACCTCATTGTGACTCATTGTTCGCAGCGTTCGTTCATACAAGATCCAGAGATCCAAGTGAAGTCATCGAACACACGAACTGCGACGCTTAGGCAGACCCGGTGGCGATTCAGGATGGGAATGTTTGCCGCAACCACGAAGGTTTCTCCTCCATGTCCGCTTCGAAGGCTGAGTTTCAACAGTTTCATGTGGATCCTACAAACAAAAAATTTTTTGGAGGTTCATGAAAAATAGAAAATATACCTAAAGATACCTAAAGTATGTTCAATCATATCATATATCATTTGTTACCTGTTCTTTTTGTTTTTCTTCCCCCCCACCTTGAACCCTGGTTTCCTTCGCTTCTCGCGGAACCGGCGGATCTTAACCCACACACATCGCCTTCCGCTTCAGACGGCCAACAGTGCCGGTGTTGGCGTTGCACTCGCGCCGTTCCGCGTGAAGCAAAGCAGTGGGAAACGAAGGAGCGCTCCGGTCGCCGGAAACGAAGCATGAAACCTGGTGGACCGTATGGTGGAAAATACTAAATCATGGGTTGTTCTACTCTAGTAGGGACTCTACGCACGGTGGAGGCCATCGCAAGAAGACAAAAACAAGAAGCGGGCTAGTAGCGCTTTGCTACGTAAAGGCGCGATCGCCGAAAGAAGCCAAGTAGCGATTGCCTCCACCGTGCGTCGCTTCGGAGCTACATTGACGTCATAAATTGGTTCATTCAAAAGAACAGAAAGGAGCGCTCTGAGCGGCGCGTTTTTGCATTGTTTCATTTTGTTTGTATTTTGTTTCTATATTTGTATTGCGTTTCTATTGATTTTTGTGCCACTGAAAGAATACTATTCTGCCTCAACCCCCCCCCTCCCCCAAAGGCAATTTCCAAAATTCCAATTTTCCAAAATTCCAATTTTCAAAATTCCAATTTTCCAAAAAAACCAAAGAAACCAAAAAAAACAAAAAAAACAATTGTGCCAGGACTTTGCCTCACCCCCTCTTCCCCCCATGGTCTGTGCAGAATTGGTTTTTTTGGTTTTTTTGGAAAATTGGAATTTTGGAAAATTGGAATTTTGGATTTTTTGATTTCCTGGGATGTTTTAAATTTTCAATTTCCTTGGAAGTAGACAATACTACCACTTTCTCTCAATTCCAGAACAGTCTCTGAAACCCTCAGTGATTTGTTCATTAGGGTCTAATAATGCTCCTTCTGCTCCTTTAACTCGAAAATTGGTAATACCTGACATTTTAGAATTATAACCAGTAAAATTGACATCTGCAATTTTTTCAAATGACATACCAATAATGAATTTGTTCTTTCTGTATTGACGATACGAAAAACTTAAACTGTCATGTACTGTATAGCTCTTCTTAAATAGTAAAAGATTTATGATAATGATTGCGCTTCAAATTCTGTGTATTTCTCGGAATTGCTTAATTGAATTTGCCAACTTAAACTACGGGTGGCATCTTGAAAACCTTTGTACCTTGTAAGTCATTTGTATCAGCATTACCAGTATCATTAATTCTTCCATAGATCATAGGATTAATTCCATCTCTTATATACATAATTGTCAGGTAAGTATCGGTTCAGTTCTTCACCACTCCTTGGAGTTCTAAATAAGGTAATGAATGCTCCAGTCAGTTTAGAAGATGATTTTACAATATTCATATTAATTTCACCACCACCAGCATTGAATGTTTGGGTGATTGTGTGACAACAATTTGTAATGTTTCTTATCTTTGCCATTCCGCCCCCTTCTATGTCCTGCCATTCTAACACTCAATGCCTGACAAGTAGCACCAATATAGACATCGTCATTTTGTCATTTAGTATTCTGTAACATTTTGCCTTGGAGTAATCCACCATAACATTACATATTTTAACTAAGTTTAAATGTTGTTTTTTAAATGAGTGATTGGGGTTAAATCCATTGCTTATATTGGTGCCGGGATTGATGTTCCAAAGGCCGTTCCCTTCAAAATTGATATAGCTGTGGCTCATTAAAGGGTTAGGTTCTTTCAAATCAGAAGTTACAGCGTAACCATCCAACATTGAAACAATATCGGATGGATTGAGGTAGTCAAGTCTTTTGGGACTTTTGTTCCTTTCCTTTTTGTTTTTATTGTAGGGGTAGCATAGGTTGTTGTAGCAAATGTATTAGGTTGTTCTTGATTGATCTTATTACAGCACTTGCAAGGTTATGCCCAACCAAACGGGTTATTTCTGGTGACTTTTTCAATTCTTCTATAACATGTTTGTATTTCTCACTGTGATGAACAGTTCTAGTAGGTACTAATAACAGATCATCCATAATATCCCTTGTTAAAGATCCATCACAACCACCTGTGCCACTTATGTATAAAGTCTTACTTGTTTTGTAAAAAGCACTTGGTGATGAATAGGCATTCCATAAGCCCCTGCGGTCTTCTATCTTCTCCTTGTTTGCTATATTTTTCTCTTCAGCATATAGTGTTCTATGTTGTTTAAAGTGATCATTTAAGTTTCTTGTAAAGTCATTCATTCTATCATTCCAATTTTGGTTCTTTTTTTTCATAATCACTGTAGGTTTCTTGACCGATCTTACTGAATAACATCTGGGCGCTTCCAGGCAGATCCTTCCAGGCAATGTCAGACACATCAATCATTCTCAAGAAAACGCATGAAAAAGGTTGAAAAATGCTCATTTTCATCGAAAAACGCGCCGCTCACAGCGCTCCCCTCTCCAAAAGAAAGGGCCAGGACTCTCCCAATGGGAAGAGTTCGTGATTGTTCCGGAACTCCGATGCAGACAGGTAGATGGTCCTGCTGGAGTGCCCTCCACTTAGATACATGCCATCCACTTTGTATTTTCCCAGTCTCGAAGGCTTCCGGGGAGACCGGGCCAGATGCTTTCAACAACTGTGTTTTTGGGGGGTCTTCGTTTTTTCTTCCACCTGGTGCCAGGTAGGTAGGTGGAATCTGCGGAGACCGGTAGGTGGAATCTGCGGTACCCACAGAGTTGTATGGAAATCCCGAAACCCACATGGAATCTGTGGTCAGAAGGCCATTGACACCTGCACATCCAGCCGCACGTCAAGTCTTCCTCAAAATGTATCCCACGCATCAGTATTCCTTGAATGATGCAAGCGTTCAGTATCCTCATCTTGAATAATCATCCTCAAATCACCCCAGGTTCGGAGAACATGTCTTCTATTCATCCGAACGCGTTGCGGTCGCGTTGCTACAAAGAACCTCGCCTTTTTTCGGGCGCAGCAGGGGCATGGGCGATGAGAGGGACAAGGCAGTTCTTGTTTTCAGACTAGCTGGCCGACACTACCATACTACTAATTCATGATGTTCAGTGCATCTTTCATGTACTAGATCCAACAAAGGGCACATTTGTGTCTTGGCTACGAAATAGAATGCCCGGAGGGTGCGGTCAATGCCCTGGTCCTTCTTCGCCCCACCGGTGCCCTTTTCGTCGGTTCGGATGCTGTTCGCCCCGAGGTCTTGACCTCTCAGCGTTTGATCGACGAGATCGCCAACGGCCAAAACCAGGAGAAGTACCAGGCGAAGCGAAAAAGGGGCGGGGCGCTGCTTGCGAAAACGAACGGAACAGCGCCCTCGCTACGAAGGGCCCTAGTCGTTCGTGGCTGGGCCCATCGGACGCGAACGGAGCCATCGGACGCGAGTGGCCCTCGGGCCGCTCCGCTTGGGTCCACCCTGGGAGGTTCTTTTGGGCGAAAACCGGTCGGTGGGATGTCCAGACTCGGACGGCAAGCCACGGAGGACACCGGGCGGCTTTCGCTCGCGTTCGCTCGCGGCGTCGGCGCTGAAAAGCTCAAACAAACAGGTACCGAGCCTTGAAGGCCTTTGATACTCTGGGAATCTCTGGGATGATCAACTGGGAGCTCTGGGGCGTCGCTGAGTCTATAGTTCTTGAATGTGATTTGGGATCTTCTTGGTTTTTCCGCGCATGAACCATTTTCTTGGCAGGTTCCAATTGTTTGGCATGTTTGGGCCCTTGAAAACCTTGCAGATGCTGCGTCGAGTTTGCACCTCGCACGCCCTCGCGCGGGCTCATGGGACTGGAAAACCTTTCTTTACACTTGCCGCATGAACATGATCCCCACCATAGCGTAACTCTTCCGTCATCCCCATTGGATGGCCTGGGTACCCCCAACCCCTGACTCGGTTGACTGGTCTATCTTCCCGGGGTCAGTCTGCCAGGTCGTTCGCGGAGGGTCGGTCTGCCCAGAAGTGACCTACACAAGCACATTCACATGGAAAGGGTCTCGGATGTGACGTGCCCGCGCTCACCTTTGGTGGTGTGCTGCGGGGGGCAACCCCCCCCGCGCCACGAAATCTGCACTGCAACACCCGCGCCTGCCACGAAATCAATATTTTAAGGTGTGCCTGTGCGTAGTCGCGGTCGCAGTCGCAGTCGTCGTAGTAGTAGTAGTAGTAGTGGTAGTAGTAGTAGTAGTAGTAGTAGTAGTCGTAGTCGTAGTGGTAGTGGTAGTGGTAGTGGTAGTGGTAGTGGTGGTAGTAATCATAGTTGTAGTAGTTTTAGTGTCGCAAATGAAATGAGTCTGTCCTGGTAGGTTGGTGTCGCGGCAGTTTTGGTGTCGCAAGTGAGCCCCTTGCCCATTCACATTCCAAAACGGACCTTGCTCTTCACGGAAGGCTTCTCCAGAAGATCACTATGATGATCAGTTGGATATCTCTTTCTCATCATGTCCTCTGAGATCGGAATCCATCCCCCTGCACCTGGGTGCACCCGCCTGGCCTCCGCCTCTTTTCGGACACGTCGCGCCTCGCGCCCGTAGCGCGAGGCCTTAGTGCGAAAAGCGGTCCCCGGCATGGTGTGGAAGCCCAGGGAGGGTCTTGTTCGGCCTGGTGAGCTGCGGTTTTTCGCCCTTTTTTTTCCCCCGTTTCCGGGGTGAAGCCCCATAACCTTGTGAATAGTTGTTACAGTCATTGTTTTGGTTTTTACAAGCAACTCCAAGGTGTCGAGGACCTGCTCATAAAAAGTTCCTCATGACAGGAAAAGGGGATGACATGTCCAAGCTTTTTGCGGGGGATTCCCCATGTACATCCGGTGAGATTCACCGGGCGGCGTCCATATTTTCCAAACTGAGAGGGTCGGGTTTCAGGAGACAGGAACATGAACCGAGCGAGTCATTCCTTCGGGGAAAATCAAAGTCTTGGACTTCCGATCCGAATGCATATGGTTTACATTGATGGATGATGCCTTCTGACAATGAATGGAGTGTGTCTCCTCGGAATCCTTCGGCTTCTTGGACTTCCTATTCTGCAGATTTCATCAGATAAGAGGGAATTGGGGAGGGCGGTTTGAGGTTTCACAGAAAGCTCAAGGGTGCCGTCCCCGCAAAGAGCCGATCAGTCTCGGAAGATGTACATAATTAATACCTCCCCAAGGCCCGGATTCTTAGGGCTGATCATTTTGCAGAAGAACTCTCCTGAATCACGAACGCAACTTTCTTGGAACAATGTGCTGAGCTACTGTCATGCGAACCTAGTGGTAGCCCACCGTTATCGCCATCTTGCAGCGTTCAACGCAGTATCTATACAATGGAAGATTTGACCGCTGCAGATGCAAAAGCTGTGGCTGAGGCAATCTTGACCGGAGAATCATTGGATTCAGCTATGCTGGAGGTATAGGCGTCAAGAAAATATGTATCGACGAATCAAAAAAAAGTGTTTATCGAATAAAAGAATGATCGAATCAAACAAAATATACCAGTGTAGACCCCAAACAGTTTGTGCGTTTGTGAAGTAAGCCACAGAAACAAACTGTCAAAGAGTCAACGGCTCAAACCGTTCCAGTTAGCGGTGATCAACTAAGACCTTCTGGGCTTGTTTCAACACTTGGCTCAATTAACTCAAGGTCAAAACCGACAATTCAGACGAAAACAGAACATGCGCACATCTACCGAATATGCTAAGTTGTACTAACATGTGGGTTTATCATGCTTTATTTGGCTTACGGCTTACAGATGTTAAAAGCCTTCAACCCAAGGTGAAACAAGCAGGGAGACAAGTGAAGCAACAAAGGAGACAAGCAGGGAGAAAAGTAGAGACAAATGTAACGAGAAGGGAGACAAAAGCAGAAAGACCACCAGGGAGGCAAGTGAGAGACAAGTGTAAAATCATCCGGCCGAGAGTATCCAAGCATAGAGACAAGCAAAAAGACAAGTGGAGACAAGTGCATCCGGCTGAGAGCCTCTGGCAAAGAGTGTCTAAGTTGCATCCAGAGCAGCTAGAGGAAACATCAGCCGAGAAAGGCTCACACGGCCCAAAGACCCAGAGCGGACTGGAAGACAAGTCGGAGACAAGTGTAAAATCATGTGGCCAGAGCGCCGAAAGAGAAGTGGGAGACAAGTAGCACCCAGAGTGTACTGGAGACAAGGGAGACAAGTGGCAGACAAGTGTACTGGGAGACAACTGCAACATCATGTGGCCAAAGCAGTCGCAGTGTGGCAGGAACGCGAACCCGGAGACAAATGTAAAATCATGCGGCCCGGGCACGTAACCCTTTCAAAGGAGTAAGAACCCCTCACAGGTAAACTTGTTTTGGGAAAAAGTCGTGTGGCAAAATCCCTTTGAATTGCCAGGGGTGTAGCACTGGTCCTTTGGTCCGCTGGTCCTCTTGTCGCAAATTCCTGGTGCATGCCGCCTGCCCAGCCTTCTGGCATGGCACTTGCGGCCATCCTTAGTGAGTCACTGCGTGCGCAAGTGAGGTAACGTTTGCGTGGGCAAGTGAGCTTTTGGACCTGCTCCCTTGATACATAAACAGGCGTGCTCGACTGTCGACGTGGCGTGCGCAAGTGAGCTGACTTTTACATGCATTGTAGACTAGCAAACTCGACTTTTCGTGACAGGTGCAAGGGATCGGAGCTGTTTTACTTCGAAATGCAGATTTCGTGGCAGGCGCAGCACTTGGGACATGGTGGTGATCTTCACGGCGCTCTCATTTCGTGACAGGTGCAGTGAAGCGTGACTTTTGGATATGTGGCTTGTTTGCTGGCTTCGTGGCAGGCACAGCACTTTGTGACTCTCGAAGCGCAGAGTTCGTGGCAGGCGCGGCACTTTGTGAACCTCAAAGTGCAGACTAGCAGGCGCAGCACTTTCGAAGTGCAGAGCTCATGGCAGGCGCAGCACTTTGTGACTCTTGAAGTGCAGATTTCGTGGCAGACGCAGCACATGGTGAACCTCCAAGTGAAGATTTCGTGGCAAGTGCAGCACTTGGTGACTCTTGAAGTGCAGGTTTCGTGGCCGGCGCAGCACTTTGTGAACCTCGAAGTGCAGATTTCGTGACGCGCAGCACTTTGTGAACCTCGAAGTGCAGATTTCGTGGCCGGTGCAGCACGTTTTGAACCTCGATGTGCACATTTCGTGGCAGGCGCGGCACTTTGTGCTCTCTCACCCTCACACTCACTCTCACACTCACTCTCGCTCACAAGAAGTGGGTCTCCACTGTTGGATGGTGTCCAGCGATGATGGAACGCTCACAGTGTGGCGCGCTGGGCTCGTGCTGAAGCTAAGCCATGGTGGGTTGTCACTGGTGTTCGTCGCACGATTGCATCTTAACAGTTTCGAAGGGACAGTTCGGAAGTAGACATTGGAAGTGTGGGGCCCTGTGCTGTTTGGGGCCACTCATATCAGTCCCCACAGATGCAACAGACGCATTCAACGGTGCAACGCCTTTCATTGTTGCAGCCCACCACCGTAATTCTGAGTGCTGGGCTGCTTTCTTGAGGAGCCATCTCTGGATGGACGGGCATACCGAGTGTCCGTGGAGGCGATTGGCCAATACGCCTTCCCTACGCTTCCAATGGAACACTCTCGGTGTGGCGAGGTGGTGTGTGAGCTGATGTCCGCGCAGGCCTGCGAAAACCACGTGGGCATTGTGGCAAGCACCTACATAGGTCAGGGAGGTCCACAAGGTACCGCCCTGGAGAGAGTCCCAGGATTTTACCCATCAGCTTTCCGTTCTTAAAGCCTTCTCCAAGGATCCGAGTTTGGATGGGAGATGCTTCAGACGATTTCAGACGATTCCAGAAGCGTTGCAACAGGTAGATCTGATCTGCATGTGACCTCTGAGGACCCAAGCCAAGACGGCCGGATCTGGCACAAGTATATCGAGGCGTGCATGACCGAAGACGGTCGAATGTGACATCAGCTCATTGAGGCGCGCAGTGTCGAGCTGCGTCTCTTCTACATGCACATGAGATGTTGTTTCAGCATTCTCAAGGCTTGCAGACAATCTCAAAGCTTGTTCTTCCTCAACGGAGAAGACAGGTCCACTAGGTAAGATGGAATCAATGGCTTCCAGACAATCAAGCATGCTGGTGCAATGATCCAATGCCGTTTTCTTAAGCTCAGAAGCCTCCTCGGCTGGCGCAGTTGGGTCAGACACCTTCTCTTGAATGGTCTTCTCGACCTGTTGAAGAGCCACTGCTACTGCTAGCGCTACTCCTACTACTACTACTATTATTACTGTTATTATTACCTGCTACTACTACTACTACTACTACTGCTACTGCTACTGCTACTGCTACTACTACTACTGCTACTACGACGACTGCTACTACTACTCCTCCTACTCCTCCTCGTACTCCTACTTCACTCCTACACCTTCTCCTTTATACTCCTACTCCGAGTGCTGCTGCTGCGACTACTAGGTTTATTACTATAATTTGCTACTGCTACTACTACTACTACTACTACTACTACCACTACCGGCAGGTTCCTTGCAAGGAGAGAACATGATGTGCCTAACATTTTTTGTTGAAAATTGTCTTCGTGAATTATGCGCAGTCTTGTACCATCTTTTTACAAGTCAAATGTTTGATGTAACATACTATAACAGGCGACTACTCCGATGTAAACTTCAATATCGAGACAAGGTGTGGATCTCAAGAATCCGTGAATTCTTGATGCCTAAATTGCAAAGTACAATTCTTCCTGCAAAAATCTCAGGATCTCTGGTAGCACAGAGAAGGACGCGCAAAATTGCGCAAAATGACCACAGACTTGTTGATCCAAGGCCAGTAACATAAAAACACCACACACACACACAGAACCCAACTACACCTGTCAGGTGACCCAGGGGCATACAGGAGCCGATCGACTCAGAAATCGTTCAAAAATGGAGCCCTTTGTCTCATGCCAGCGTGATCAGTGATCTGAGATCGACACGGTGGAGCCAGAAGAAGACGGCCGACGGTTCCGTCCGGTTGGAAAATTGGGCAGTGCAGAAGAGAATGAACCAGGTGAGTGCATCAGCTACCAACGAAACTAGAAAAAATCCAATAGGACTGGAATGTGTACTGTATTCCCTATGGACCCCTGAAAGAAAAACACACCCCAGAGAGCCTTTTCTCGGTCAATACAAGGGTAAATGTGGTCCCATGGAGTGTGGGCAGAGTGGTTGACTTGCCTTTTTGTTCCGATTGACCACGCACTCGGGGATCAGGTGCCGGACCATGTGGTGAGAGCAGCGGCCAATGCTCTGAAGAAGGCACGTGCATTTGGAAGAACAAACACAGAAAAGCACCCGTTTCAGACTGAAGAGGAGTGCAAAGAGGGGGTGAAACAAGCATCATGTGCCCTTCTGTTGAAGGGGTTTGGAACCTGGGCATCCCCAGGAACCAAAATGTGTCGCTCAGTCTTTCCCAGGGTTGGTCTACATGGTGTGCCGAACGTGGTCTCGTTGGTCCCATGGCCAGCCTCCTCCGAGCCTTGGAGCGAATCATTCACACAAAAACCCACGCTGGACACGTGGTTCACGAAGAAGGTTCTCCCGTCTGTGGCCCACTTCCAACATGGTTTTTTAAGGCACCACTCGCAGTTGGAACTGTTGCTTGACTGTGGTACACATCCGGGAAGGACGATCATCAGGGTCGCCAAAAGCACCAACCGTCATACACACGTTTGAGTCGAAAAGGAAAGCCTCGTCCCCTGCAGGATTGCCCGCGCGCCTCGACTTCGCCCCCCCCTAGACTAGCGCCAAAAACACCACGTGAAAACATGGTGCGAACCGGTTCGACCCGCGCTGGGGTTGACCCGTGACGATGCAGGTGGCCTTGGAGCCCAAGGACCATCCGGTGCATGCTTACGTGGCACCTTGGCACTGGTGAGCCCGGACGGGAAAGGTGGGCCATGCGGTGGAGACTTGTTCGGCCGAGAAGGGAGGGTGGTCATTAGAAGGGTCATTAGAAGTGGTGGGAGTGGTGGCAGTAAGTAGTAGCTGGTGGTGCTGGTGCTGGTCGTGATGGTATATAACTAGGAGGAGGAGGAGTGCAAGATCAGTCATGGGATTATGGCGGTAGTTCCACATAGTTCATTTTATGAGACAAAACTCATCTCCAAGGCTGCGGTTGGAGGCACTGATCTTGCACCAGACAAACTTCCTATTTTAAGTCTGTTAATGGCCTCCAACCCGATGGCCTCCAACCTACTAGCGATGGCCTCCAACCTACTAGCGATGGCCTCCCTCCAAATCAGCTTCCTTCAAAGGACAACGACAGTCTTCTTGCCTTGGCTTGGTGGCTTCAGGTTTCTTGCACCCACCGTCGTATGCACACAGTTGTATTCGAGTTTCTTCAACCTGTGGTTCGGCCTTCAGTTGCTCTAGGGTTTGCCATCGGCCGAGCCGTGCACGGCATGGATAGTTCTCGATTTGTAGAGTTTGGTGAACAAAGGGTCTCTACTAGGACCCACAAGGGGTGGTTAATGGACACCCCTTAACCTCTAAGGGGCTTTCAATAGACACCCCTTAGGGTGTCCTGGTACCTCTTCCATTGGACTTGTATATCTCACCCCTTGCCCACCGCTGACAGAAATGCCAAGGACAAAGAGCTTCGTTTGCAAGACACGCCCAGCCGGCATGTGCTTTCGCTCCCGGCTCCGCTCCGCCGCAAGGAGCGGAGATGCACACGTCGTACGTCATGTTTCGGACTGCAAACAAGGAACTTCCTTCTGCCATTAGATCTAGATATGTATGCTGGAAGTTTGTGGAAGGCACCAAGAACACCACCAACAACCTGTGACATGTCGCCCAACTCCAGTTTGATCTATCTCAATCTTCCAAGTTTCTTTTACGGGACCTGCAGTCAGAAGGGGCTCCAACCTACATACTCAAAAGGGAGGCAGACTCAGCTGTCACCCTACCGAAGTACATTCTCAGGAGGCAGTTACGAGAATGTTGGGCACCTTCTCCACATGTTTGGCCCCTTTTTTCAGACAGCTCACGGTCTGTAAAGGCACCCCAAACAAAGGCACCCCAAACGAAGTGATGCACATCTGCATGGACAAAACGGCAAGCATGTGGGACACCGTCTTGCAATGGGATCCTCTCCGCGGTCATGGTTCCCAGAATTGGTGTAAGGGAACATCCTGGAAAAACTATAGGATGTTGATAGTTTTGGAAGTGAAAAACATGGATTCCTGTAGATGGTCCCTTCAACCCTTCGTTCGAAATGGTTTTTGAGGCCACACCTTGGGCACTACACTGGGCCGTCGAAATGATACCTCTCCGCTTTTGCCTTTTTCTGGGCGATACCACTGTGTTCCAGCCTGCTCATGGAGGTGGACGGCATGGTCCCGGAAAGAATGACCATGAAATCCGAATACCAAGCAGGTGGTGAACTCGGTCACTCCGCTGAGACGGAGTTTGAAGAGCTGGCGCTCGCTGTCAGCGGAGACTCTGATGGCGGTCTGCTGGCGTCAAACAGCGGCTCTGTGGCTCTTCGATCGTAAAAAGGCGTCCCATTAGTATACACGTACCCATTCAGTCTTTGCGGCTATAAGCAACTTTTAACCTTTTGGAAGATTGGGATCCCATGGTTTCCCAAACATGGTCAACGCCGGTGCACAAGGAGACCATCCTTTCTTGGAACCAAGGAAACTGAAGGGGTCGAGCCAGGGGTTCGGCCCTTTGGCAGACCAAAGAAAGTCGGCGTTCTTGCTCCGTTCGTAGCGAGGCCCTTTGCTCCGTTCGTAACGATGCCCTTTCTGGTGAGCCAATGATATCGACCATCTGTGATGTGTGCTCGTGCTTGCTCGGCAAGCAACCTCTCGCCAGGTTATTCCAGAGGCTTTGCAAGCTCACGGCGCCCGAGTTCGAGAACTTGTTGCATCCGGTCTTTCAAGAGGCGAAACCAGATGACAAACAGTACTCAAAAATGCACAGGATGTCATGGTTGTGAAGCAGGGAGCAGGTTCTGGAAGTGGCACTTGCTACACAGAATAGACATGCTCCGCGAACTGATTACTACGTTCTCGTCGGAAAATTCTCGATCAGTCAAGAGGTTGCGAAAAAAGGGGCAAATCCTGGACCTGACCCGAATATTCCATACATTTCCATACCAATCATGACCAATCCACGTCAACTCCAGTTCCGCCTGATTCGGTGTCAACGGACAGTCCGGTATCCCTGAAGGTTGCAGAAGATTCACTTTTAACCCTACCCGGAACCCCAACATGACCCCTGTTTTGATAGGACGTTTGAGCATATGTTGGGTGGTGGGTCCGGTCACTCAGCTTCGATCGAAAGAAGTACTGCCGTTTCCCACCGTCGCCTCTCCTCGTCTCGGTCGGTCTCGCCGTGACTCGTCCGGACCGCCTTCGGTGCGGCGCCTGACGCACCTGACGCACCTGGTGGGTCACCGGTGGGTCAGCTGCCACGTGTGGCGTGGGCGCCTTCGGCGCCGGTGTCAATGTCCTTGTGAAGGACGCCAAATCGATCGAAAAAGACACCACCTGTCTTGCAGATGTACGGATTTGTACTTTCCAAATCCGTGGGTCCTGTCCTGTTCGGCTCATTTTGGTTTGCAACCCCTTCCAGTCACGCCCCAGGATGAGCTCACTCTGATCGTGGCCGGCGGCGTCTTGGGCGCCTTCGCCGGCTTTCTGCAGATGAGCCTCGGGTGGCCGTGGGTTCCGGTGGCCGCAGGAGACGTAACTGGGGAGGTCGGGACCTAACTGCATCCGACCGCGAACGGTTCGTTGTACCAACAGAGTTTAAGTGACCGTAAATAGCACACTACAGGGGTACCTCTGGGATAGCCTATAGCCTATAGGCCTATAGGGTCTTTCAACAAAGGCCAGGAGCCCCGTTCGTAGCAGTCTTGCTCCGTTCGTAGCGATGCCTGGAGCCCCGAACGTAGCGTCCGATCGCTCCTAGTCAGGACCAAAGCCCAAGAGCCGGTTTCACGGCCAAACGCGATGCTTGTGGAGGGTGTGTTGGAACTGTCACGGACTTCCTTGACATGGTTTCACCCCCACCTGCGGGGTGCGTTGCTCAGCCGCGGTGGCTCTCGCCGCGTTCGGAACGTCTTAGACGGAGATTTTGGGGGAGGTGGCAAAGTGCACTTCTCTCACATCAAGCTCATGTTGAAGAAGCCAAGGATCATAGAATTGGCATCCAACTGTGTAGCTTGCAATTCAGCTGTGGTTCAAGCTTGGGTAGCAAATCGCCATCAACCCAGGCAGCCACAGGACTCGTCACCGCAACCATTTGACAAGTCCTTTGTCCAAAGCCCCGGTCAAACCCGGTCCTGAAAACATCAGTGTATCGTCAAGTCCAGTATTTCATGAGCTCAAACTGACCTGGCTATATGGGAAACTGTCCAGGCATATAGGTCTGTACCAAAAACCCACACCCGATCCACACCCGGCTTTCCGGCCACACCCTGTATAGTCGCTCCTTCGCCAGGTGGGGCGGCCCTTCGGCGGAGGGCGCCGTCGCCAAGGCATTACGCCTGTCGGCGGGCGCAGGCGGGGGGTGGAGTGGAGACGGGGTCTGGTGGGATGGGCGATGCACTTGTTTCTACTAGCTTCTTGTTCCTAGTAGCTTATTTGTTACTACTAGCGTGGCACTTGTTACTAATAGCTTCTTGTTACTACTAGTAAGGCACTTGTTACTAGTAGCGATGCACTTGTTCCTAGTAGCTTATTTGATCAATCCTACGTCGGTTTCGGGATCATTGATCATCCTACCTTCCAGGTAGGGAACACCAGTCTGTTTGCTGCCCATCGTTTGCCACATGGCACATAGTTTGCACATCGGCAAATCCATGGTGGACAGCGTTTTTACACCCTTGATCAAAGACATGCCTATCATTGATCAATGCTGGAGTCCCACCTTCCAATCGTTGGCCATGAACTGACTTTGCAGGTGTTTGTTCCATCTTGACGCACTTGGGTGTGTTCTTTATGGACAGCGGATCGGCTCTCTCGCGGCGCTGGGACGGACTGGTCCTTCGACCGGTCCGGGCCTTTCGGAACCGAAGCCGACACGTCGGGAGGCGACGCCGACGCCTGGGAGTGGCCCCAGTTTTCATACACACCCCTGCTGGGTTTCCAAGTTTCAACATAGCCGCGAAAAGGTGTGGTTCACCCTTTAAATGAAACTCTCTGATCGGTCTTGATGGTGTCGTGTCTTTGTCGTCTTGTTGCAATGAAAGAACCGGTGATGATTTGATGCAGACCTTTCCATCCCACACTTTTGAGGGGTTCTATGTGGGGATGGGATGGGATGGGATGGGATATGACCCAAAACACCCTCCCAAGCTAGAATCTAGCAGCTAGAACACCCAGTCGAAGATAGTGTTCCTAATTGCAACCCAGTCGAAAAAAGGGAGTTAAAGGTTTCCGGTGGTAATAGCAGCCTTGGGAGAAGACTCTCCACATCACCAGATCGTTTCGTTTCTGCTTCAGAAGAGAAGGCTAACACAACTTCAACTTCACGGAATGTCCACCTGGTGAGACCACGCCGGTCTCCTGGCCGCCTCCCAGACCGGACGCCAGGCGCCGGGGCGGCGGCCACAAAGATGGCCCTGCTGCCCCCGCAGCTGCTCGCACGCCTGGCGAGGTGGCGTGGTGCGGTGGTGAGGGGGGGGCAGACAGTGCCGAAAAGGAAAAAAGGAAAACGGTTGGTTGAAACGATTGAGAGGGTCTTGGACATTATGATCGGTATATTAAAGACGTTGGGTGGAAGGGCAGGTACGCCATGGTACGCCGCAAAAAAGAACAGATCCCCTGGCGTGGGTCCAGGTGGTGCAGGAGTTGTTCCACCAATAGTATATTTTTTTGACCCAGGATCCTTTCAATGACCTGCCTTTTCAGATGGAGGCGCTGCAAGAACACAGCACCTGCGAAAACGCAAGCCTCAAACCCTCTAGAGCAGGGACGTTTCGGTTTACTGTAAGCTTCGTCCAGCTCAATCCAGCTCAGTCTCGTGCCTGCTTCGGCTGCAATTTCTGCTCAGGGCAAACCTCCTTGCAGGGAGTGAGGCAGAAATAGATAGAAGATGATAGAAGACATTTTTAGATAGGCACTTTCAGCAGGTTTGTGTGTCAGTTTGTGTGTCAACAGAGCAGTGCTGGGGCGGACATCCCGACAGAGCTATGCCGAAGAGAAAGGCTTGTCCGTCCCTGGATGCAGATCCTTGCGGGATTGGACTGCTCTATCTCACCGCGGATGAGGTGAACATGATCCGCGAGAAGTTGGACCAGATGAAGCGTGCGCGGATTTCTGGGTGGGAATGGGTGTTGGAGGCAACGGATACACAAAGGTGCGCCAGCACAAAGAGGGGATTGGACACGAAGGAGACACCCGCCAAAGAGGTGAAGGCAAGGAAGGTGGCAAGAGAAGCCACAAAAGCGCCCGAGAAGGCTGCAGCAGCCAAGGGCAAGACGCCGAAGGCGGCTCGCAAAACCCGAGCCGCCAAGGCGAAAGCGAAGACGACGGAGAAGAAAACAGCCAAAACAAAGGAGAGGCAGGCGAGAAAAGCCGCTATAGCGGCAAAGAAGGCAGAGGCCAAGCTGGTTAAGGCCAAGGAAGCACGGGAGGCCAAGTTGGCCAAGGCACAAGCGGCAGAAAGGACAGCAGCGAAAGCCTCTGCAAAGGCAAAGTCCAAAACGCCGCGCCGCCCGGCCGCGAAGGGCAAGCCTAAGGCAACGGCCGCTAGGCGCAACAGAGCCCAACCACAAGCTCAGGCGATTGAGGTGGACGACACTGAGGACCGGGGGGAGGGGGTCACGTGGCCAGCCTAAATAGTCCATATTAGTCCCAAATCAACTGAGTGACTGGTATACCTTTTTTGAATTGCTGAAACAACCAAGTTCTCCGGCAATTTTGATCGAATTGGGAAGCTCGCGTCACACACCTGTCGATGTCCATGTCGAGAAGGAAACCCCAGGTCGAGACTCATCTTCGTTCGGATTTCTTCCATGTTCCGATGGCGCGCCAGGTGATGGCCTGCCCTTTGGATCAACAAGGTCGAGACTACATGCTGGACTTGATAGTACAAATCTCCGAGGACCATGTGGGGCCCCTCAGTCCGAGGGTGCACAACACCTTCCGCACAGGAGGTCGTCTTGGTTCGATTTGCTAGGCCTATTTGGGGGGCATGGTGGCATGTTCGAAGACCGAAGACCATCCCAGCAAGATCTGTTTGGCGGGTGCCTGTGACGTTTGAAGTTTTTTCAGGATCGCCGATTCGCCGTCATTCGTGCGTTCTGTTTGTGGCCGTCTTGTCTTCCCCAGCTCCAAAGTTCAGGGAGCAGACTACACCTTGCCAGTTGTAGGAAGAACGGAGACCTATGAGACTTGATTCCTTTCGCCGAGCTATTGATCACCGGATTGACCTTTAAACACTCTTTGTGAAAGCAAAGGCTGCACCAGCTTCGGTGGGGCTCCTGGGGGATCCTTGACCGTGGATTTGAAGGTGTGCAATTAGTAATGACCAACAATTTCCCTGTGCGTCAAAACGTCAAAACCGCTTTCCCCTCCATGTCACCGATGGATAGGTTTACAACAATGACCAAGAGGATTCTCATTAATGAGGGCTGTCTATCAACTAGGGCTGTCTGGGTGTGACACACAGCCAAATTGATGGGAAGTTGGCCTCTAAGTCTTTGGGTGAACTCGCTTTTGGACGAAATCAAGGTGGTTCTATGTGGTTCTGCTTACGAAACGGTTCAGAAGTGTGAGACGGGTGTCAACCGGGTGCTCACCTCGACTCGGTGACGTCGAGCCACTCGCTCGTGGCCGCTCAGAAGAGACGACTGTTTGAGTCTTACCGGGAGATTGCAGCTTGGTCGGAAGGGTCACGGGGCTTGGTCGGAAGGTTTGCAAGCAGGTTCCATTCCCAGACACGACTCTGTGTGGGACTGCCGGACTGCCGAGAAACAGCCAGGGGTGGTGGAATGGTGGTCAATGGGGCGGCAGTCCTATGGCATGGAGTGTATGGGATTGTAGGTGGCCATTTCCCATCACAAGTTCCACACAATCGAAGAGAACCTTCAGGAGAACTGGGGGCTGTCCCAGGGGCCATCCGCGCAGTCGACTCTCGCTGGGGCATAGAGATTTGAGATGATGTGATTGTTGGAGGAATGAGCCGCAGTTTTGGGTTGGACTCGTTGTGCCGCAGGCCAATCATGGAGGTAGCTTGAACGGTGGGTGGAGGGAATTCCTGCTCTTCTCAGACCGTGCTTTGGGGAGATCCAAACGGAGCCGGGCTTGTCTTGCATTGCAGGTCTCATCAACACTGAGTGCCTAGCTAAGCATATATGCTGCTCTTTTTCTTCAAACAAGACCTGTGCCATGCTACGATGTCCGAAACCATTCCGCTCAACCTCGTCCTCAGTGGTACCAGCCCCAAGAGGCATAACTGGAGGAGATGCTCCAATCCCCTCCTTTCTTCACCACCGCCCAGCTGTGCACTGTCTCTTGAGGTGCATGATGTCCATTGCAACGAGGTCACTCTAGATTTCGACCACATGACCTGGAAACGACGCCGCAAGCTCCAGTACACCTTGGAATTTTGGGCGGCGCAAGACGCACGTGCAGAACCCGCAGGCCGTGAACGCCAGGGGGTGAGTGGTTTGTGTTGGCTGTTCTTCTTGTGGGGGGCGCACCTAAGGTTGGTGTGGGAAGGGCCTGACGGCACGCTGCATGTCTGATCTAGTTGAAGGTTTTGCACACAATGTGGTGAAGTGCTCACAAGCCTGTCAGGAACAGCCACAAGATCAGCTAGCGGCAAGCTCTCCAAGCACCTCTACCGAGTGCTCCAAGCACCTCTGAGCAGGACCAGCTGTACAGAAACGAAGAAGAACTAAAAGAGTTCCTCGATGAATGCGACAAATGGATCCGAGACTGGTGAAGTTTCAAGTCTTGGCTCCAAATAGGGAGGCCCCATTACTGTTACAAAAAGGTCGGCCAAACAAACCAAGGATTCACATCAAGGACTTGGATGGACAAGTCAACCATAGAAAAGCCATGGGCTTTCAAAGCTATGTTTGCTTTCTTTTTGGATCAATGTGGGGACTCCATTCAAAATGGACTGCTGATCAGCATGTCCGGGCGTTTCCATTCAAAATGGACTGGTGATCAGCATGTCCGGGCCTTTCACCAAAAGGGAGCTACAGTGCTGACGCTCCTCCTGTCGCAAGGAAAAAGCAGAATTGTACTGGCAGAGATTATTAACTGGCAGGCAGATAAAGATTTCCTGCCTTTTTGCCCAGATGGCTTGATCTGTGAAATGACTACAGCTCAAAAGACACATAATTAAGGTGTTTCTTTCCATTTGTTAATCCTCGTTTCGTTCCGGCAAGTATATTTCTTGTGTAATAGTAATAACTATTACACACGTGCAGTTGTTTGCTTTGGGTGGAAGGGCAGGTACGCCGCAAAAAAGAACAGATCCCCTGGCGTGGGTCCAGGTGGTGCAGGAGTTGTTCCACCAAGAGTAGATATTTTGACCCAGGATCCTTTCAATGACCTGCCTTTTCAGATGGAGGCGGCTGCACGTCTGGCGCACGTCCGGCCCGCGCCCCGGTCCGGCAGGTCTCTCCGGAGCGGATGGCAGAGAGTCCGTCGACGAGGCGACCGGAGGGCACATGGGGGATTCACTGCGGACACGTTCGAGTTCCCGTCGCTGGGACTTGGGGGGGGTGAAAGAGTGAGGGAAGAGGTGACACGTTCTGGTCGACCACCTGGAAGAACACCCCCGACCCACCATCCGAACTGTTCAGTGATCGAACTGAAGGCATCGAGTTACGATGCGCCGCACGGATCGTCCTTCCGCCGGCGGTGGCCAGTGGGTGAGAACAGCTGTGCGGAAGGAAAACCCCAACCATCCCCTAACCAAAAGAAATTCCAGAACAGTAGGTCCTTCCCCCCCCCCCCGCTTGGCAGCAATGGGCGCCGTGCTCCATGCTCCCGTGCTCCCGTGCTCAGTGGTCAATCGGGTGGGTTGGAACGGGCGCGCCCGTCGCGCCCCTTCGGGTTGCGGCGGACCGTGGACGACCGACCGACGTGTCGGGGGGGTGGGAGATCTTCCATGGTTTTGGGACTCCACGAAAAGCAGAGTCGGCCAAGAAGCCGACTTGGACTCCGAGGATGTACTGTGAAGGTGTTTTGGGGTGGCAGAACAAAAGGGGTGCAAATTCAGGAAGTCTCATGGGTGGGGAAGTTCAGTGCTTTCGATTCACCCAGCGTTTTTTTCGATTTTTTTTGGGTGACGTGTGTGAACACCTCCCTCCGTAAACGGATGCTTTGTACGAATTCTGACGGATTGCAGCCATCTCACAGCACAACTGTCAATCTCAAGGTTCCTGGACCGTTCTCAGACTGGAATGCAGGAAGCTCCTTGATTTCAATCCCAATGCCAATCACCCCCCCCCGAACCTCTTCGCATCGACATGCCAGCGCTCCGCTCACCCGAAACGAGCACCAGGAAAAGAGACCGGTCTGCTGGTACACCCAGTCTTGGCCTTCAAAAGACCAGGAAAAGGAAGGTCTGGGTGTTCTGAAGGACTTTTTCCTGCAGATGTCGTCTAAAATCCTAAGTTAAAACAAAAACACATGGTACTGTACTTGGTCAACAGGCCATATATAGAAAAAGAAAGGGATCGACCATATGAGGGGAATAAAAGGGCCACCAAGTCGACGATCTCTTCACCCCGCGTCCCGGGTCGGCGACCCCCATGGCGGACGGCGAGAAGCGGCGCCACGCCGTGCACCACGCAGCTCGGAACGGAGCGAACAGCTCAGGGGGCGGGGGAGCGGAGGGGGGGGGCGATGGCACGGCCCGGGTGGGACTCGGTTTGGACGAGGCCTGACAGTCAGCCATGTCCAAACCAGGGTGTGTCACTCCCAGGCGTCGGCGTCGCCTCCCGACGTGTCGGCTTCGGTTCCGGAAGGCCCGGACCGGTCGAAGGAGTCCGTCCCAGCGCCGCGAGAGAGCCGATCCGGTCATAAAGAACACACCCAAGTGCGTCAAGATGGAACAAACACCTGCAAAGTCAGTTCATGGCCAACGATTGGAAGGTGGGACTCCAGCATTGATCAATGATAGGCATTTCTTTGATCAAGGGTGTAAAAACGCTGTCCACCATGGATTTGCCGATGTGCAAACTATGTGCCATGTGGCAAACGATGGGCAGCAAACAGACTGGTGTTCCCTACCTGGAAGGTCAAATCGGCTTCCCCGCTTTGTCCTGGGCGTGCGTCACGGCTCCACTGGTCATGAGGCGATGTAGTGTGACTTTGGGCCATGTGATGAGTCAACAAGAGTGATGAGTGGTACAATGTAAGTGTTGTTTTTCCATGTTTTTGTCCAGTACAACACAAGTTGAATGGTCACGTCAACAACTCAACACCCAAACAACCCACCTCCGTCCGTTCAGACGGCACGGATGATTCGCCATGGGCCATCGGTCACCGTCTCGTTCGCCATGGGCCATCGGATGATTCGACCCGTCGAAATCCGGATGGATGGTCACAAGTATGTCCAATCGATATGGCTATGGGTCAATGGCTAGGGGTGCCCCCCCAACCATTGGTTTATATTGAGAATCCCTACTGAAATGGTGGTGATTGGGGGTACCTTATTTTGACCCATGCCCATATATATATATATATTGAACCTGATTGACCCCTCTTTTAAAAGCCAGAACATGTTTCTTTTTCCTATCAAATGTATGTTATGCTATGCAATGCTATGCTATGCTATGCTATGTTGTGATATGTGATATGCTATGCATGCATGTATATTATGTTACGCTACGCAATGCTATGTTATGTTATGCATGCATGTATGTATGTTATGTTATGCTATGCTATGCTATGGTATGTTATCCTATGCAATGCTATGCTATGTTATGTATGGTATGGTATGGTTTGGTATGGTAAGGTATGGTATGGTATGGTATGTAAGTATGTTATGTGTGTAATGTATGCAATGTAATGTAGTGTAATATAGTATAATATAATATAATGTATGTAATGTAATTATGTGTGTATGTAATGTAATGTAATGTAATGTAATGTAATGTAATGTAAGTACGTATGTATGTATGTACGTATGTATGTATGTATGTATGTATGTATCAATGGAATGGAATGGAATGGAATGGAATCGTATGTATGTATCTATCTATCTATGTATCTATGTATCTATGTGTATATATATGTGTGTGTGTTATTCTGTTCTTGTATTTGATCACTCATAAGGCCCCAGTGAGCCACTTACAGAGTCCCAAGAAGCCCCTTTCTTGCGGCACGGCCCGGCTTACTGAATGGGGGCTAGTAGGGGTCTCTTATCCACACACTCCTCGTATGACCCTATTTACCTTCTACCATTAGAGTGTTGGAACAGGGGTCAATGTGGGCATAGTGGGAGCTCTAACTCCTGCAATTTCCCATTCGGGTAAACGCCCTTTTATAGCGACCCAGCTGCCGAAAGGCTGCGGGTTAATTCATTCAAGTTTTCACGTTTGAAAAATTGATGTGAATGAAATATCGATGGAAAAACCAGTTGAGAAATGCGTTGTGATTGTAGCATTGAATTTGAAAGATTAAACGATGTTTAAGTCATTATTCGTTCAATTGAGAAATAATTTCGAATGAGGAAATGTGGACAAAGCATCAATTCATGTGAACTTTTTGGGTTCAAGAAAGAGACGGGGAGAAGTGACTCAATACGAGTTACTCCTTAGATGCCATGGAAGCGAAAGCAAAAGGATGTTCTGATTTGCCAGCTGTCAGTGAACAAAAGGTGGAAAATGCAACAAATTTGGCGCCGTATATGGCTGGAAGAAACCTTATGAAAGAGATTGCATTGAGAGCGCCTGACAGTGAAGTTGTCGTGAAATTTAGCGGATGTTCATTGAAAATCGGTCACAATGTCAACTTGAAAGTGAAAACGAGTGGCAGTGCAAATTTGACGAAGAGGAAGGTGCTCACGTTCTTTCCACTTGGCCGTGAGATGTTGCGAGGCTCGGAAATGCCGTATGTACAATGGTGCCATGCAGCGCCACCCGCCAATTACAATCATTATGATTTGCTTGGCAACACACAATTGACTTGTCTGAATTTGTTTGAAAGGATGAAAAGATTTTGCAGTGAAGGCAAAGATGTGATGTTTTTGGGTCAAGCGAACGCTCCTCGATCATTAGCCAAGTCAGAGATTGATTCAAATGTTGGCTCACTTCGAGCATCAGTTAGTCCACTCAGTGATTCGTATGTTACTGAACGGAGCAATTGGTACAGATTGCTGTTGGATTTGAGCTTTTTACTAAAGAAAGATGGTGGCCCATGGTGTGAGTCAGGCAATGCGGTTCTTAGCTTTGCGTCCAGCTTCTTTGTTTGATGATCATGTTTGGCCACCAAACTTTGGCAAAGATGATCGTTCCGAAACTAAACCTGACATACAAGTTCACAGCATTAAAGCTTGTCCTATGTCGGAATCAGTCGGGATTGCAATCAACAGATGCTTTAGTTTGGAAATGAACAAGTCCTTCTTGTGCTCATTGTCATGGGAGGAGGTTCATCCCCATACAGTTTCAATGATTTGGATAGGTTTTATGTGCCTGAACCCATTGCAACATATCATTTGCCTCCATGTGTGTGGAGCACTTTGAATGAATTTGGTTCAATCACAGGTATGAGCACGGCATTACAAAGCACAATCAAAGCAATAGATTTGTGGCAGATAAGCGCGCTTGCTTCGTTGGAATTGCAAGATCTCAAGTTGACGGAGAACGCATTGCTTTAGTGCCAAGAGCCGCAGTTGGAATCGGACCAGGATTGTTGTATTCAATCGACAATGGGATACCTGGAGTCAGAGACAAAGATGCTTTGAGAGCACATCTCATAGAAGTGAGGCCAAAGAAGACTGAAGGATCCAACACTATAAGCAGTCTTGGGCCTGGAATAGTATCACAAATGTTCACAGCGTATCATGGCACTGATTATGCCACAGGTGTCGGAAGGCCTGGAGGTGCAGGTGCGAGTTGGGGAGACGTATTGATGAGAAGATATTTCTTCGATGGGCGAAGCTTCTCCACCAAGAGATGTGATATACAGTTTCGGTTTCTCAACCGTGGAAGGAGCAGAAGCTATGCGCGGCAGAGATTCTGTAGATCCTTTGTTTAGCTTGTCAGTGGTGGAGCTTGAAACGGCGAGTTCAAGTCTTCTTTTGGCTGCGCCGCATGAGAGACCAATCGTGAGACGAGTTGCTGCAAGAGCAACAAATGTGGAACAAGATGTAGAAGAAGCTGCTCGCAAGCGTCTGAGAGAAGCGGGAAACTACATTGCTGAACTGAAAGGAGGGATGGCTAGCGTCTAAGAGTATTTTGAGTGACATGAGCGATTCACGCGACCGATCAATATCTTGTGGGAGAAGCTACACTCCTAATGACACATCAAGTGTCGAAAGCCAATTAGCAGCTGAAAGAATTGGTGAAGAGGCGGATCAAGCTTGTGAAGAAGAAAGGACTCGGCTTGATAGAAGGATGATTGGCGATGGTGTCGCAAGCGGAAGCAGCCCCACAAGACAATCGATTATAGATCAATTGGCCAATGTGGATCCTGCACTAGAGATGGTGAAGGTCATAGTGGAGGCTACTACATGGTGTTGAGGATGCCTGATGCTTGGGGACCGTTGGGCTTCAATCGACGTAAAAATATGATCAACATGATCAATGAGATGTTGGCTTGGGCTGTGCTTGTTGTACAGAATCCATGAATCAAGCTGATTCTTTGGACATTGCTGGACAGCTAGTTTTTAAATTGCGAGCGCGGAAATTCTCTATGATGTGTGACTACAGTTTTAGTATTGGAACTGATTGGAGATTTATCGCATTGAAAAGCTTTTTGCACAAGCTTGGAAAATAAGAGAGTTCTCATGGAGTGCCCACGAGAGGAGCCACCCACGCAATGGCTTTCGCTATTTCTAGCGATAGTATCAGCATTGATGACGATGACTCTTGGGCAACTGGACCAAAACAATGTATTGATTTTTGGCATCAAGTTGAGAGACGGTGCACAAAGTGGTTCGGAGCATGATGCTAGCAATGTGAAGCATGCTTCCTCGAATGATGGAAGGGGACAACATGGAGAACAGTCTTCATCGGCTAGTGGAGTGGCGCCACCCGGACTACGAAACTTGCCATCACGCAGAATGTATAGCGAAGATATTCACGAAGAAATGGCTCAAAATTCGACTTGCGCAAAGTGTGGAATGAGTCGTTGTACAAAAAGGTCATTCCGCACCACGCCTCGAAGTGCATGTGTACCACGTGCCACCAATTAGAGCCAAGGAGGCATAAAAGGTGGATGTAGTTTCCGAAGTTGAACGCGAGTTTTTGAGAAACTTTGCGAAGTGCGCATGCTCACTTGTTTCGACGCAACATTGAACCAGTGTGAAGTTGTTAATTGTATAATTGCAGTTTGAAGATGTTTGCGTCTCAAAACGAGTTGTGGGCTGAAATTTCCCAAAGTCGAAGTAGAAAGCCAAACATTATAGATTTACGCAACGCGTATGATCTGAGAATCGATTCGGCTGAAACATTGTTGGATTGCATATATGATGAGGAGATTCCTGAAGATATTCTTCCAAAATTCCAAAGCATGGAGACAACAACTGCCGAATGACATTGGCATATGGGAATTGAGTTGGTCAAGAAAAACAACAGGGCAAAAATTGAAGCTGAGTTGGCGGAAAACAAATGGTACGATCTTGATGAAGAAGGCATAAGCAAAAAAACCATTGAAAGGAATGTTGAGCTATGTAGCGTTTGATGAAATGCTTGCGGGAAGAGAGAGTTGAAGGCATAGAAAAAGCTGAAAAGTGTGGAAGATTGCAAAACAAGGGCATTGGTCAGAAGCACTGCGACGATTATTTATGCGCTCTGCTTGGAAGATGACGAGTTTTGCGTGTTTTACAACATTCTCAAACAATGCTTGTGCTATTTGCGAGCAGATGAGTACATTGAAGCAACAAAAGGTTTACATAAAAGAGCGGTTTCAATCGATGGAGCAGACATGTCAGTCGCCAAAGTGGCAAGAATGTTGTCAGTGAACAGTTTTGCAGGAAGAGGCAAATGGAAAGACAAAGAAACGCTTGAAGAAGAATTGGAAAAGCGCAATAGAACTGGCCAAAATACAAGAGGTTTTGATGGTCAGAGTTGGACATATTCCGGATCATTGATAAACAGGCAGAAATTTCGAAGAATGTGGTCCGACAGAAGGAGGAACAAAAACTTGAAACATCTGACGGCAGAAGACTACAATAGAAGGTTATTTTGGATGTCTTCAAGTGGCCATGGTGGAGGTTCGTTGAAGGTTGAAGAACTGAATCGGCCATTACATACAAGACTGAAAAAAGGCACCAAGTTGATGGGCAAAAGAAAATCGCACAGCTTATTCGACAAATTGGAAATTGGAAAGAAGCTGAAGATCATATCCAAACCGTTCATGAAGAGAGAACCTGGCAAATTCGGAAGAAGGTTGTGGCCAGTGAATACTGAAGCTTACCTGGTCGATAGCTTTATCGAAAAACATGCTGGGCCGATGATGTCAAGTTCGCCTTACATGATGACTGGAAGACCAATGCGTAGTGTATTGGCTATGCGATTAACTTTGGCGCAAGCGCTGAAATCAAAAGTTGTCGGTTTGAGCGTCGATGCAGAAGCTTGGGAAGCTCAACGCTCTAGCAATGATTTGAGGGACTTTTCAACTGATGGGCATTTCGCATATTCGCGAGGTGAGGCAGAGGCAGTGTTCATCACCAAACGGGTCGATGGCAATGTCCAGTTTGGGTTTCAAAAATGAAGTCAGTAGCTTACTAGCCGACTAGATGTGATCAGCCTTCACAATCCAGTCCCAAAAAGGTCGTGTCTCTGTTAGGTCGGCATGAGCCAGCGCGGCAACATCCTCGTGGTGCTAGCACCCTCCGCGGACACCGTGGCGGGGAGCTTCGAAAGCTTCGCGGAGAGCGAGCAGCTGGTGCCCTTCATGCGCGACGCGCAGCTCGACCTGCACGGACGACCGGATCATGACAGAATCAGATGTCATTCAAGAAGCAGGTGTTTTTTCGTGTGGGAGGCACGTGGATGTGTCATGCTTTGAGGCGCCCCTTCTAAGATTTACTCATGTTTATGGATGTTTGTTGTGATGATGGATGCAGAACCTGAGAGGAGGGAACCATTTGGGGAACTAATCGGGTTCCAGGTGCCTTGTAAGGATGTAGCTTGAACCTAGGACCGTTTATCGGAATGTACCCAGACCCCAGTGGGGTACATGTCCATCTTCAGATGTGTTACAATTTGGCGCCCCTCAAACGGTGAACTTTTGTGGTCAGATAGGGTCAGGGTAGAGAAGTCTTGGCAAGTTCATCCGGTTCAAGGCCACGATGTTGCAAAATGGAACGCATGGCCATTTGTGTTGTCCAGTACCTCGTGGCCTTGGTTTTTCGTTCTCCATGTGGAGAAGGGCTCATCTTTTGACCTCTTTCGGGCCACCCTCCGAACTGTCAGTAGACTTCGAGCTGAGAGTCCGTCCCAGATCTTTGAGGACGCAGATGCAGAGAGAGGATCGTTCACTTGCTGAAAGCCAAGGAGTTGTTTGCCCTTTTCAAGGCTAGTCAATCTTGGAAAACGTTGATCATTCTATCTCTTTGATCACGAAAAAAACTTGTCACGCTTGTGGACCTAAGTCACCAAGTTGCCAACAGAGAGTGGCAATATCTTTTGAGCAAGTTCATTTGTTCGAGACGCAATCAGAAGAACCCCGGCAGATTGCAAGAAACAAAGAAATGATCAAACCAAACCAAACATACAGTCGAATCTGAGCGAAAAAACTCAACAATGGCGTATAGGAAGGGTCAACCATCCATGCGAGTGATTGTGTTGGCTCTGACTTCTTTTGTCTTGTTCCCTTGGATTTCCTCCTCACCCAGTCCCAAACCGGTTTCTTCAGACCCGAACATCTGGAGTGTGTCGTAAAATAGGGAGACCGAACCCGGCGTCACCCGGCACCCGACGTCCCAACGTCCCGGAACCCGTCCCTTCCATCGACCAGTCGGGACCAGCCAGAGACATATTGGGGTCTTTACTTAGCCAAAGAATGCAGCGATGACACCAAAACCAAAGCCCTTTGTCTTGGCGGTGCATCGAATCCATCGAAGGCTTCCCTCCAAACCCGAGGCTTTCGGTGGTTGAGAGCGAATTGGGCTTGACCTCCTACCATCTTCGTTCCTCGGCCTGGAAGCGTGCGCGGAAGAAGCGGAAAGGCACGGGTGGATGGGAAACACGTCCGGTCGCTGGGATGATCCAAAGTGCACGAAAAGAGGACAACAGACGAGGTCCAAAATGGGAAAGAGTCTGTCTTCCTCGTTTGAACCAATGGTCTTGAAAACAGACCGTTTTGGACCAATGGTCTTGTCTTTCCCAAAATGGTCCCTGGGGATGGTCTGATCACCATTGGTCCGGTCTGACGAGGTCCGACGAGCTGATCTGAAAGAGCCGAGCTGATCCCGAAAAAATCTTCGATGGTGCAAGGTCGAACTGGACTTGTAGGGCTTTTCTATTCGGGTGACTTGGAGGATTGCGAAAGACAGCAGACTCAACAGATTGTGACAACCTTCCTTTTTGGGGGCCCCCGTCGGCTCCTGAATCAGCCTAAAGGTGGTGCATTTCCCAAACTGACAACCAGGTTAGTCCAAGCATTGCTAGTATGAAAGTTCTAGCAACAAGTCTCACCCGTCAGAAGGAGCCTCTAGTCAGCCTTCCAAAAGTTCTGGATAGCATCAGGCATAGACCCTTCAACTATTTCAATCCGGCTGAGCTGCTAAGCTAGCTTGGAAACCAGATGCTCTCGAAGCAACCCCTCGGATTGCTCGGTGCTCTTGGGCACCCAAAGAACCATGCTGGTTGAGGCTGACGTCTCACCTGGAACCTTTAGAGTACTGGGAGCACTCCATCCTTCGAGACCTGAGGGCCTCATCCCAGGCGATGCCCTTGGCGTCTGGCACCTTGGGTGGGTCCGACAGCACACGGGGACCAGCTGCGAACCAACTGTACCAGGTGCAGCATTAGATAGGAAGGAGGAGTGTCCCCTTCTCTGTCACGCAGGTGTGTGTGGCACCATGGCACCCTGGAAGAAGGCCCAAAAGCTTCCATCGGACTGGTGAGGCTCCCGCAGGTCTCATGAAACGTCCCAGTCGTTTTGCAGCTGGACCAACACCTCAGGACGGAGGTGCCCTCGAAAAACCCCGTCATCCGTCTTTCTCCGTTTTTCACAGCAACAACGGCACGTAAATGTGTTCTGCCCTTTTGCCGACGAGTCAGGCCTGTTGCCCTGGAGTGCCATCACCAGCGACGAGTCCTTGACCTTGTTGCTCTTCTCCGAAGGGGCGGAGGCCCGAAACCCCGCGGCGCGGCGCTGGCGTTCGTTCGTTCGCCTTCGCGGTGATGTGTGTGTGTGTGTGCTTTTTGAAGAAGGCTTCCTGGCTAGATCAGAAGCTTTTGAGCAGACAACACCGAGAATTTGAGAGGCTTGCAAACCATCTTGAACGCTACTGGTACTAGGACGCTATTAGGAGCAAGGACGCTACTAGGGGCTCCTGGCCTTACTACTAGGAGCAAGAAGCTACTAGGTTGGAGGCTCTGCTTTTTCTGACTCCAGATTGAAAGGCTTGGCGCCTTGGCGCTACGCGAGACGCGTCGCGAGGCGGTGGCGGAGCAGGGCCAACGATGCGGCTTCGTGGTGTACGTCGCCGGGAACAACGGCGTGGTGCGGTACATCCCAGTGGCCCGGAGAAAGGAAAGGGTGCCGGTGGGTTTTTTAATCGTGGTTCAATGGGCAATGTAGATGTCGAAGGTCATGGCTTTACAGGTTTGCAGCGTGAATGTGTTTGTCCATTTGCTCTCAAGATCTCTCAAGCAGTGTCTGACACTGCATCGGGTTTACTTTCTTTTCCAAAGGAAATTGTTTTTGGTGGGTTGGTATAGGTGGTCAGGCTGTTTCACGGTTTTTTTGGAATGGTCTTAGCTTTGGAGTGACACACAACTGTACCTGGCTCGGTTTGGGTTGTTTTCAGAAAAACCTTTGGCGGGGGGCTCAGGAGTATCTGACTATAGATAGCTAGGTGAGGTCCACAGGGTCCACTAACGAAGGATGGAGTGCAAAAGACTCATCAGTATGACTTCAAGTCTCAAGTGCTCTTTATGAATGAGCAAACCCGCGGTGTAGTATTCTCTAAGCTGGCGCGCCGCGCGTGTTCAGCCTAAGAGCGGGCAAGTCTCTCTCTCCCTCTCTCTCTTTCTTTTCTTCCGCCACACTCCTTGCACCGAATTCTTCTCCAGCCGTCGTCCCTTGTGGGATTGAAGCGCTTTGGTCTGTCAGGGGTCTCTCTCTCTCTCTCCCTTCCTCCCTCCCTCTCTCCCTCTAAACGAGCTCGTGCACATATATATTAGCCTTAGCTTCCACGACGCTCGAATGTCACAGATGCCTTGAGGAGAGCTCCTCTCAGCTTCCAACGTAAGGATAACGTCAAGAGTGGCTCAAGCCTTACAGTGCGGACCCTGCGATTGTTGGGGCAGAAACAACAAAACACTTCACGAAATCAGATCTATGCACTCAGTCCACGCGCCATTGAAAGCACGAAGGGGGCACCCCAGGCAAACACACACTGCCTGCTTCGCTGTGCACTAGCGAATCTATTTTTAACGAGGCCAAGACAGTGATGACATGCCTGTTTGGGGTCAGGTCTCTTCTGCTGAGATTGCCAAGGCGTTAGAGGAGACACGCGCATGGTAACATTACGCTGCAGCCGCTGCACTGCTGCAAGAGAAAAACTGATCCGCAGCTACGTTCCAACTTCAAAAGCGCTTCAAAAAAATAGAAAAGACAGTTCAATGAAAAGCACGCGAGCAAAGCACGCTCAGAATCCGCAGGATGTCCTAGGCCGAGAATGATTGCCTGAAGTAGACCGGCGGGCCGATGAATTCTGCAACCTGCAGGCAGACTTTATCAATTCATGGAGACCGCCAGTCAACGGCATAAAATGAATCAAATTTACCGGGCGGCCTGGTGTCCTTGGCATTTTGCCTTTTTACCGCACGCCTTTGGAAAAACTAAGGGATCGACCCTACTCAGGCGTCACGCGTTTTCAAGGTCGAAACGTATTCCAAATGCAGGTTGCGGAGCGTTTTTGTTGTTGTTCACGAGCGGCAAACCTCGTTCCACCTCTCAAGTTGTGTCATCGCCTTTTCTGGAAGTTGAGTAACGCTTTTGCCAAGTGCTTCACCGGCTCACTCGATTTCTGTACTGCCAGCTTCTGACACATTGCATCAGCAGCGGGTTGACCGAACAATTGAATTTGTGTGCGCTTATGACAATAGCTTTCAACCATGTGTTCATGGATCAAGCAGCGATTTGTTTTTTTGAGTTCCAGCAATTTTGCTTTCATTCATTTAGCGGTTCCCCAAGACCATACAAACGAAATAACAAAACCTAACACAAAACCGTCGAAACATCCAACATCGACATCCTGGCAGCCAAAAGATGCAGTGGAAACTACAAAATGCTGCAAACCACAACAACCTCGTAATTTCCTAAAAACCCATCTTGCACAAAGGAACAACCCCTCAAATCTATCATTAACGTCGTGATCATCCCGCCCCACCCGATCCCACACCCCAAACCATCCCAACGACCTTCCGACCACACGTAAACCTGCACACCGTCCGTGACGCACCGATGCAACACAACATGAACACACACACACACACACCACAAGCCAGCACAGAGGTATTCTGTTCATTCCATCACCTGTGCCCAAGACAAGTCGGACATGTCTCACTCCGTGCCGATCTGTCTCACGATGCCACATGCTTAAGCCCCGAAATCCTGGGTTTTTCTTAAGAGGTGATGTTTGAGGCCCCGGACCCCTGCCATGGAGGGTCCGACCCTGCCATGGACAGCCCAATAATTCTTAGGGTAGGGGTGAATCCCCTTCTGGTGCATATGTTTCCCGGTTCCTTAAGCAAAGGCACACACTCCAAGCCACCCTTTTTGTCGTGGGGTGCTTGCGCCTTTGGTGGTCCACGGGAGAGAGAGTGGTGAGAGAGATTCGGGGACGTGTAATAGGGAGACCGGGAGACCCCCCGAACCATTGGGTTTGAAGGGAACACAAACAAAGCAACCAAAAGCAGTCAGTATGAGGGTTTGTCTTCCTCCCTCCTGCCTGCAGGTCCGCTTTCCCGAGCTACACCCCGAGCTATCCCATGAACATGTCGGTCCGCGCCGTCTAGGTCATCGACGGGATGGATCGCTTAGATGCGCCCATCAACTACCAGGACGCGGAAGGAAAGGAGGCGAGGAGAAGTCCGGTCGGTCGCAGGGGGACGGGCAGGGCACGAAGGGGGACGACCTGGGTTTCGGTGTGGTGAGATCCCAACTTCTTCGGTCGAAGGTGTGTTGTGGTCACGTTCCATCGAATGTGGAGTCTTGATTATATCAACCCCCATATGAAGATGTTGCTCAATGCACATGGGGTGTGTGTTTAGTTAATCAAGAGTCTACTTTACCTTGGCCGATCAGGTTCAGTTGGTTGGTGTTCAATGCTTGGGACAGCCATGGGCCCTGTACTTGGCCAGGGGCGGCAGCGCCGGCAGAATCTCTTCCAAACCCGTGGGATTTGCGGTGACCTCAGTTTTGGAGACCCAAGCCGCAACCAATGAGGCAGACTGCCCGCCGCAACCGGAAAGGACGGGTGAGAGACCCTTCGACCGACTCGAGAGCCTACGGGCCTACAGATTGAAGAGCTGAGTGAGCAATCAGGGAGAACCCAGGCATGTTCAACGGCTGTGGGGGTCATTGGGGACCCCGGTTGAATGAACAACCTGACCCGGTGCTCAAAACCAGGAAGACTCTCTTGACAGTAGAATAAACGCTGTTTGCCACTGCCGTGGCTTGTACGCCCGTCGCTGGAAGGGCAGCATGTCGCACACCCCCGCGGTGAACGCCAAGCCTGTGACCATGCCGTGGTCAACACGCATCCCACCAAAGTAGCAAGGTTTTACCTGGGAGTCCCAGACTAGTTATTTCACATGTGTTTATTAATGGCCTAGGTGACCCGAAAAGGGACTTGGTTTACTTCGGGTGGTGCCAAGTATTGTCGACCTGATCCACGTCTTGATCGACGAGATCGTTCTCCGTGATCGGTCCGAGTCCCGAGCCATCGGCGGTTCCGCCTCGGCTCGGTCTCAAAAGCACCATGGTCAATCGTCGAGATCCTTTCGACCCGGCCGATGGATTTGGGTCTCACTTGCCCCCGATCCTCCAGCCAGTCTCCATCTCCCATGGCGCAGCCGACCGCGGCGCACGCACCGCCGTGCGGACCGGCGTGTGGATCGCCGTGGGTGCAGGGACGACCGCGGCGACCGCGGGACCGCGAGGATCGAGTCAAGGGTCGAGGTGGGTGCTGAGCCAAAATGATGGGGAGCTTGGGCTTTAGGGTGTAGGGTTCCTGGTGATCACCAGTGGTGTTGGATGTTGGATGTCCTAATCCTCAGAAAGCATTTCAAGTTGCAGCCCAGCAAGGATTGGAAGAGAGGGCCTGGAAGAGTCGGTTTATAGGTTCTATGATGTTCGTTCCTATGTGCCCCTGCTCAGGTGTCCTTTTGAGCTCCTTTGGCTTCGTCTTTTTGATGCACCGCTGCACGACGAGTGCACGACGACGACGACGAAACTTCACCGACGATCACGGCCGAAGCTTCACCGAGCTCCACCGACGTCGGCGGACTGAGACTTTGGAAGAAGTCCTGTTCCCTGGAAGCTTTAAGGAAGTTTTGGAAGCTTGTAGGTTTCAGGCCATCGCTAGTAGGTTGGAAGAAGTGCTTGCGTTTCTGAGAAGAATCCCTGAGACCTGAGACCCTCGTCCAGACAAAAGCCGAGTCGAGAACTTAAACCAGAACTTCCTGATTAACAGAGAAACCATAAGAAACCCCACGCGTTTGAAGCTTTCATTAGGTCGCAGAAGGCCTTTGAGGAGGCGATTCCACGCCCCCCAAGTACCAGCATGCCTGCCCCAACTTCATGTCGGATCTTCCAGTTGCTTCGACCCAACCGAAAAACCAATCGACCCAAGACCCGGGGCACCCGTCGGGCAACGTCACCGTCTCGCGACGCGACCGTCCGGGGAGGACGGGTTTGGGGCCCGGTCGTTTCATGGGAAGCTGCTGACGTGATCGGTTTGGACGAAGTGACCCCGCGCCCAAAAACGAAGCCAGGAGCCCCGATTGTAGCGTCCGATCGCTCCGTTCGTAGCGATGCCAGGAGCCCCTAGTAGCTTCTTGCTCCTAGTAGCGAAAGACACCAAAATGCATCAAAAACATCACTTTGAAGAATCTGACATGAAACCATTGATCAGATGTGATATTTTGCTGAGAAACTGCTGCCTCATCCGCGTCCTTCCTTCCGGGAAATTGCTGTCGGTTGAGTCTCTTTGTTCGCCGAACCACGCGACAGTCGGTGGCGTCTATCGGTGCTTCCCACCCCCCAGGAGATCTCACGAGGCAAAATGAGAAACGACCAGAAACCAGCTCGCCGTATTCATATGGTTTTTCCAGTGGTTGTTCCAGTGCGGAGGTTCTTCCCCCAGCCGTGACTGACGTGTGTCAAGGACCCTATACCAAACACTCCCCAAGCCATGGTAGACAGTTCAGTCGTAATGTGTGAGTGTGTGTGTGTGCCTGTGCGTGCGTACGTGCGTGATGGTCAACAAGGGTTCCGGAGATACCACCAGAGTACCACGATCGTATGTACCTGCGTACGTGCGTACGGACGTGCGTTCCGGAGTACCACGATCTGAATTTTTGTGATTTTGATGTCGATCCTTACTCCCGGTCGGTTGCCACCGGTGAGGCGCTCTCCAGAGAAGTTGCAAAGTGTCTTGAAGACTTTTGGTGAACAAAAGCGGGGTCTTCTTGCTTTCAAGACATTGGAAGTTGTTCAGGAGGACGGCACGCTCCAACTGAACGCATCCAATTACACGCTAGGAATCTCGGCTTGTGCCAAGTGCAAGTTGTGGCAACATGCCTTGAAGTTGTTCGAGGCCATGCCTGCGGCTAAAGTTCCACCAAATGTCATCAGCTACAATACAACCATCACCGCGTGTGAGAAGGGCAGGCAAACAGAGGAAGCGTTGAAGTTGTTCAGGGCCATGCGCAGGGCTGATATTGCACCAGATGTCATCAGCTTTAGTGCTGCCATCAGTGCATGTGAGAAGAGTGGTCAGTGGCAGGAAGCATTGCACTTGTTTGAGGCCATGCCCGAGGCCAAAGTTCAACCAAACGTAATTAGTTTCAATTCGATCATCAGTGCTTGCGAGAAGGGCGGGCAATGGCAAGAAGCTTTGCAGCTAATTGAGGCAATGCCCGAGTCAAAGAGTGTTATCACCTATAATGCCGCCATTAGTGCCTGTGAAAAGGCCGGGCAATGGCAGAGAGCATTGATGTTTTTCGAGTCAATTCCCAAGGCGACAGTTCAGCCAGATGTCGTCAGCTGCAATGCAGCCATCAGTGCCTGTGAAAAGGGAGGGCAATGGGAGAAAGCGTTGAACTTGTTCCAGTCTATAAACAAGGTGACAGTTCAGCCAGATGTTGTCAGCTGCAACGCAGCCATCAGTGCCTGTGAAAAGGGAGGGCAATGGGAGAAAGCGTTGAACTTGTTTGGTTGCATGCACGAAAACAAGATACAGGCAAGTATCGTTAGCTTTTGCGCAGCGATAAGTGCCTGTGAGAAGGGCGGGCAATGGGAAGCAGCCTTGAATTTGTTTCGGGCTATTCTTGAGGCAAAAGTGCAGCCCAATGTCATCAGCTACAATTCAGCCATCAGTGCCTGTGAGAAGTGTGGCCAATGGAAAGAAGCATTGTGTATTTTTGAGGCCATGCCTGAGGCCGAAGTTAAGCCAAATGACATCAGCTACAATGCAGCTATAAGTGCCTCTGAAAAGGGCCAACAGTGTTGGGTAGCATTGAAATTGTTCGAGGCCATGCCCTCCGCAAAAGTTCAACCCGACATCATTAGCTACAATTCGGCCATCAGTGCCTGCGCGAAAGGCAGGCAGTGGGAGAAGGCCTTGAGGTTGTTCGAAGCCATGCCCAAGGCCAGAGTGCAGCCAAACGATATAAGCCACAATGCAACAATCAGGGCCTGTGCCAAAGGCCAGCGATGGCAGACAGCCTTGAAGTTGTTTCACGCCATGCCCGATGCAACATGCCAGCCAGATTCAGTGACTTACAATGCGTTGTTCCAAAGCACTGAGATGCGTTTGAGTGGAGTTGCCAGTCAGCTGTTTCAGCAATGCACACTGGCAGCTTGCAAAATGGTCAAAGTTCGATGTTCGAGCGCTGCAATTTCTCCAGGCGAATAGCTTTTTGCTTAGCTCTGAACACATGTGAGTTTCACGGTAAATCCCTGTAGCTTTGCAAGCTTTGCAATATCTGTCAATGACATGCGCGGTGCTGATTTTGTTGCCACTTGCTTTTAGACAGCTGTTGGAGATCAAAAAAAGTCGCATTCAGAACAGTCTTTAGGACCCCGCAAAGCGATTCAATGAAATTCAGTGATCCTTAATTCCCACGCATCAAGCATGGTGCATTTACTGTGAAAACAACACGGACATACCACACACCTGAAGTATAGCTCTCCTGTGTAGAGGGTCGCACGCTCTTGAGAAGCTCAGTTTTCCATATCATGGCCCAACTTCGAGTGAATGGTGGTTTTCCCGAGTTTTGAAAAGCCTTTCCGAGAGATCGGCCCATCTCAGAGAGCGTCCCCGCTTCGGCGCGAGCGGGCGCGCGCTCTGGTTCCTCGGCGGTAGGAGTCTACTCAGGTCTCCAGGGCCCAGAACCACATGACGAGCGTTGGAATTCTCCGCTGGGTGAAGAAGGTTTAGCTCTTCCAGGTGAACTCTTTACGAGCCAAAAGCATGAGACATCTCTTTTTGGGGCCGAAAAACGGAGCGGTGTTGTTGTTTTCCGAAAGCCGCCAGGCTTAAGTTAGATTCTGCGAGCGAAGTGAGTTTAGGGGGGTCGGGGGGCATATGGGATTCTGCGTGTGAAATTCACGTCAGCCTGCTGGTGCTTTTACTTTTTGGCGACGGCAACTTTTGGTGAGTTGGTGACACAAAAGATGCCAGGTAAATTGTGGGTTGCACCACCTGCAGCATCATCAAGGTCTGTTGTGGCCCTGCTTGGCTCTATTCATCAGTTCTTCCTCCGTTTGTCTTGCGAAGCAAGTGTGGGCTCCTCCGGATCTAAGAATTGATAGTTCAATTCAACCCCCCCAATTGGAATTGATGTTTCAATAC